ATGCCAAATAACAAAAGCAACTTATGAGCAAATACATTTAGTTTATATGAATTCAGCAATATACTTTCAGTAATGACAAGGAAAAAAAATGACTTTAGATAGCAATGGTGCTCTCCTGCCATCCTGTTTCATGAACATATCCTAAACACTAYATACACCTGAAATAGTTGAAGCCTATGGGTGAGTCTTATGGAGTGAATGCCAGAATGATTTTAAGCTGGAGTCGATAGCTTAATGATTTCCTTGAATAAAAAGTTGAAAACTTAATTGTATGTTTGTAAGAAACATTAAAGAAGAGTTTAAGAAACTACTAAAATTACCAACTCAGCCTGTTTGTACTAGATGATTAATTTAAGGAACTTTTAAGGCCAATTTTGACCATACAATTATAAGAGAATTTGTTGCTTTTTAACAACTTCCTGTTTAAGATGATGTGATACTTTAATATTTTTACTTTTAAAAAGCATATACATGTGTTTTCATGTACATATATCAGTACATGTCAATTCAATGATAACCCGTTGGGAGAATACTTAAATTTGAAGAGATTGAGATAGATTAAGTTGAATTTTTATACTTTTTTCAATAGATAGTCAGTGTGTTTTGAGTTTTTTCTTAAACTCATTTTTGCCTTTTATACATAAAGTTGTTTTTAAAATAGGAGAATAGAAATCATCAAAAAGAAAAACTCAGTTTATATGAAATCTCGGGTTTGTAGATTTAATATTTGCTTATATATAAAACAGGTTTCAGAAAAACACCTTTATGTGCTTACTGGGTTTTCCTCATTTTTTCAGAATAACCTATATGTGTATGACACTAGATTTCTGCAAGACCTCTTTATATATTATCTCAGAGCTGTGATTTGGTGGTTCCTCAATCCCAGACCTAGTCCTTCCTCCTTATATCACCTACTCTCATCTCTCATTGTCTCTATGAGACAGCCTTTCTCATTTGTCCTCTTGCTAGTAGACTGCTGCCAAATTACACCTTAACACTTTGTTTTTTGCAGTTCTTTTTCAGCAACTCTAGCCCTGTAGTACCTTTGTCTTTTCCGTATGGCCTTTAACTGATTTTTCTGTGTATTCTCGCTATTCATATTTTGAGACTCTGTGAATTGCATGTTGTCTAGTTATTTCCCTCTGAATTTTATATGATGTATGTGAGCTTATAATTAGTAAATGGCACAGATTTCCATATGCCTATACTGAGGTCAAGACCAGAATGTTATGTTGAACATTTTTAGACATTTAGTATAGATTTCATTAGATGATTTTACTGATCTTTTTTTGGTTCTAATGGCTTTCTTAACTATGTTTAGGAGTGTTTTTTAATCTTTCATAAATTTGATAATATCTTTTGATCTTCTATTTTAATTAAATGTGACACTTACTTTGGTAGACCTTTAATGAACTCTTCGATGCTCACAAAACAGAAGGTGACATATTTGCGATAGTCTCCAAAGCCGAAGAATTTGATCAGATCAAGGTAAGATTACTTGAAGTTTCAGTCAGATATGTACAACATAGACACATTTATTCATTTATGAAAGTTTGAAATTAATTGTTATTCCTGATACAATATAAAAAAGGCATATGGCATATTTGGAGTATCAGCAGTGTTTTCTATTGTACAAGAAAACTCAGTGTTCTAGATAATAATATCACAGCATACCTAACATCATGCTTTGCTTTGTATCCCAAATCAAGAAATTTAAATAGATTTTGTATTAATGAATTTATCAAAAAATATATTGTATATGTTTTGGTTTATTTGCAATATAGTTCACTGAAGAAAATGTTAAGTAAATGCATGATTCAAATTAATACAGAGATGAATATTTCTGTACCCATATTATAATTTAATGTTGTAAACAGTGAAAACTTTAATACTTTGAAAYAGTACTTCACAACTTTAAGCTATGAATGCATTATACCATATAAAAATATATGACTGTAATGAATGCATTTGAAGATAATCAAGTTTGCCCTAATCAGTTTGGGCAGAGGTTTTACTCTGGTCAAATAAAAAATGAAACCTCATCAVTTGAAGGATGGTGAGGTCAGATGACTTAATTTTTTATGTGTCAATGGCAACTTTAATATTGGTGATAAACAATAAAATATAATTGTACCTGCCTCAACATAATTTCATATTATATTTTATAATTTACCTATGGGAAAATTACTGGGTTTTAGCTGTACAAGAGTAAAATATTACATTATACTAAAAGGCAACCTTAAAAACATGCAATGTGGTTTTTCAATAAATTAGACCAAATATTACTATAAAAATATTGACTCTTCTAGGTCAGAGAAGAAGAAATAGAGGAGTTAGATGCTCTATTAAACAATTTTTGTGAACTCTCAGCTCCTGGAGGTGTAGAAAATAGTTATGGGAAAATAAACATCTTACTTCAAACTTACATCAGCCGAGGAGAGATGGATAGTTTCTCCCTTATATCAGATTCTGCATATGTTGCACAGGTAAGAATCTTACTCCCCATTTTCTCTTCTTTGTTTATCTCTAGAGACCAAGGAATTAATTCTGTTATTCTGTGAATACATTACTTTGAGAAATTCTATGAACTACTGTTTCTCCTTAGAATTAAAGATATTGATTTGTACATCTTTTATGTAACCTGTGCTTGTAAATCAGGACTGGGGGTGAAAGTTAGTGGTTGGTTTGGCTTAGTAACATATCTATCTTATATAAGGCCTAATATATATATTCCAGTATGATAGGTCTCTGATTTTAAATATTGARTACTGAAAGAAAATTGTTCCCTAAACCTACAGCTCATTTAATTTATAACTTTTAAAAACTGCTATGGTAAAAAAATTCTTCATTTATGTAAACCATCATGTGAAGTAAAATAAGTTATTTTTTGTCTTCTTTGTCTTTCATTTTCTTTTCTTTTTTTGTTTTGTTTTGTTTTGTTTTTGGTAATACTACAGACTGAACTGAGAGGCTCTCTACCACTGAAATATATCCTCAGTCCTTTTTTACTTTTTTCTTTTAATTATTTATTTTAGTACTAGGGATTGAAACCAGGGGCCCTAAATCACTGAACCACATCTCTAACCCTTTCTAATTTTTTATTTTGAAACAGGGTCTTACTAAATTGCTCAGAGCCTAGCTAAATTGCTGAGAATGGCTTTGAACATGCAATCCTCCTTCCTCAGCCTCCCACACAAGCACACCTGGCTTTATTTTTTCCTTTAAGACAAGGTCTTGCTACGTTGCTGAAACTGACCTTGAACTTATGATTCTCCTCCTCAACCTCTGGAGTTGCTGGGATTGTAGGTGTGTGCCACCATTCCTGATTCCAAGCATATATTTAAAACAAAAATTCCTAACCTTTAAAGTATACATTTTTATTATTTTTATTTAGAAATACCTTTATTAAGTTGAGAATTAAACTTTAATCTTATATAATTATGTTATCTCATGTAATTATTCTATTATATTTGTAATTTTATTCAAAGATTTAATATAGAAAAAGTATGTTCTTAATTTTTTTGTTTTAAAATTCTTATTTTTATTTAAATGTAATGAATAGTGTTGTTGGGTTTTAAAATTTTATTTATTTATTTTAATTAGGTATACAGGACAGAAGAATGCATTTTGATTCACTGTACACAATTGCAGCATAACTTTTCATTTCTCTTTGATTGTACACGATGCAATGTCACATCATATGTGCAGTCATTTATGTACCTAGGGTAATAATGTCCATCACATCCCACCATCTTTCCTTCTGCCTCCATATCCCCTCCCCTTCCCTCTCTCCTCTTTGCCCAATCAGAATACCTCCATTTTTCCCATRACCTCCCCCATTATGGATCAGCATCCACTTATCAAAGAAGACATTCGGCCTTTGTTTTGGGGGGATTGGCTTACTTTGCTTAGCATGATATTCTCGAACTCCATCCATTTTTCTGCAAATGCCATAATCTTATTCTCTTACTGCTGAGTAATATTCCATTGTGTATATATACCACAGTTTCTTTATCCATTCATCTACTGAAGGGCATCTAGGTTGCTTCCACAGTTTAGTTATTGTGAATTGAGCTGCTATAAACATTGATGTGGCTGCATTACTATATTATGTGGATTTTAAGTCTTTTGGGTAAAGACCCAAGAGTGGGGATAGCTGGGTCAAATGATGGTTCCATTCCAAATCTCCGTACTGCTTTCCAGACTGGTTGCACAGTTATGCAGTCCCACCAGCAATGTATGAGTGTGCCTTTTTCTCTTCATCCACACCAACACTTCTTGTTGTTTGTATTCTTGATAACTGCCCTTCTGACTGGAGTGAGATGAAATCTTAGAGTAGTTTTGATTTGCATTTCTCTATTAAAGATGTTGAACATTTTTTCATATATTCATTGATCGATTGTATATCTTCTTCTGATAAGTGTCTATTCAGCCCTTAGCCCATTTATTGATTGGGATTTTTTAAGTGTTTTTTGAGTTCTTTATATATTCTGGAAATTAATTCTCTTCCAACATGTGTATGGCAAAAATTTGCTCCCAAAATGTAGGCTCTCTCTTCACCTCATTAATTTTGCTGAGAAGAAGCTTTTTAGTTTGAATCCATCCTGGTTATTAATTCTTGATTTTATTTCTTGTGCTTTAGGAGTCTTTTAAGGAAGTTGGAGCCTAATCTGATGTGATGAAGATTTGGGCCTACTTTTTCTTTTTCCTCTGTCAGGCTCAGGGTATCTGATCTAATTCCTAGATCTTTGATCCATTTTGATTTGAGTTTTGTGCATGGTGAGAGATAGGGTCTTAATTTCATTTTGCTGCATATGGATTTGCAGTTCTCCTAGCACCATTTGTTGAAGAGGCTATCTTTTCTCCAGTGTATGTTTTTGGTTCCTTTTTCTAGTATGAGATAACTGTATTTATGTGGGTTTATCTCTCTGTCTTCTATTCTGTACCATTGATCTACATGTCTATTGGTGCCAATACAAACCGTTTTTGTTACTATAGCTTTGTAGTATAGTTTAAGGTCTGGTATTGTGATGCCTCCTGCTTCACTCTTCTTGCTAAGGATTGCTTTTGCTATTCTGGGTCTCTTTATTTTTCCAAATGAATTTTATGATTGCTTTTAATATTTCTATAAGGAATGACATTGGGATTTTAATTGGAATCACATTGAATCTGTGTAGTGCTTTTGGGTAGTGGGGCCATTTTGACAATATTTATTTTGCCTATCTAAGAACATGGGAGATCTTTCCATCTTCTAAGGTCTCCACCAATTTCTTTCTTTAGTATTCTGTAATTTCCATTGTAGAGGTCTTTCACCTTTATTGTTAAGTTCATTTCCCAAGGTTTTTTTTGTTTGTTTGTTTGGTTTTTTTTTAGGCTATTGTGAATGGGGTAGTTTTCCTGATTTCTCTTTCAGAGGATTCATCACTGATGTAGAGAAATGCATTTGATTTATGGGTATTGATTTTATATCCTGCTGCTTTGCCGATTTTATTAATTCATTCTAGAAGGCTGAGTTTGAATAATAAATTTACTGACAAATTTGAAAACACATTGGACCTAACAACCCAATCTCCCCATTTTATTCTTCAGAATGCAGCTAGAATCGTTCGTGCCCTTTTTGAAATTGCTCTGAGGAAACGTTGGCCTACCATGACCTACAGGCTCCTGAATCTTAGTAAAGTCATCGACAAGAGGCTTTGGGGTTGGGCTAGCCCTTTGAGACAATTTTCAGTGTTACCACCACACATTCTAACAAGATTAGAAGAAAAAAATCTTACTGTAGATAAGCTGAAAGATATGAGGAAAGATGAAATAGGTAAGAAGGGGGAAAAATTGCTTAAATGAATTTTTCTGTGAAAATAAAATATTTTACTAGATATAAAAGTATTGTGAATTTTCATATTATTCAACATAAATTTATTTTTCTTATTTTTTATTTCTTTTTTTGTACATTATAGTTTACATTGTTAATTTTGACATTCATGAATGCATATAACTCAATATAAATTTTGAACCTACATATGACATCTCTTTATTTATGCAAAAGAGCAAAAATCACTCCAAATTTTATGAAGTTATTTAGCAGAATTAGCAATTAAGGCTGGATGTGGTCACACATGCTTATGATCCCAGCAGTTCCAGAGGCTGAGATAGGAGGATCACAAGTTCCAGGTCAGCTTCAGCAACTTAGCAAGACCCTGTCTCAAAATTAAAAAAAAAAAAATTTAAATGGGCTAGGGATATCGTTTAGTGGCTTAGCTGCCGGCACTGGGTTCAACCCCCACTACCCCTTCCAAAAGAATTAGCAATTAAAATAGTTTATATTAGCAAAATTTTAAGTATTTTAAATGTAGATCCTACCCATAAATGATAAGAATCATTCAGTGATATTTATTCTCATTTTGTTTCTTAATATTGAACTAATTTCAAAGATTTTGTTATATATATCAGCAGTATTACAGTAAAAATTTAATTGAACAATAAGCTCTACATTCTCCAGAGTTTCTAAACAAGCTTAATTATACAAATATGCCTTTAAACCCAGTTGTTATCAGTGCATACATAGTATTCAGTGTCCAGCATTTTGTGTAATATTGAAAAGTTATTCCTAAACATACATTTCCACAAAGCCTAACATTTATTGAATAAATGTATAATGCATTGATTAGACAGTATTTACTTCTGCAAAGGATAAACATTACACATGAAAAGAATCATTCTGAAGACAAATAAGAAGGAGGATTACTGCTGGCAAGGATTCTAAAGATGAAACTGAGCTCAGTGGCGCACCCTAGTAATCCCAACGGCTGGGGAGGCTGAGACAGGAGGACTGCGAGTTCAAAGCCAGCCTCAGCAAAAGCAAGGCACTAAGCAACTTAGTGAGACCCTGTATCTAAATAAAACTACAAAATAGGATTGGGTATGTGGGTCAATGGTCAAGTGCCCCTGAGTTCAAGCCCTGGTACCAAAAAAAAAAAAAGAGCCAAAGATGTTTAGAGAGGCTGAGATAGTTATTACATTTGTACTCTAAGATAGAGTAGAAAAAAGGGCAGAAAGAAAGAGGGATTATTAACAAAGTAAGTTGACTGTACACATACTGCACACTTGATGCTTTAAAATATAATCTATTTTCACTTAATTGCTCAAATCAGTCACATTTGTTTTTTAACAGCCTSTACCCTTGGTATTCCCATACATGTCTATATTCCAGAACCTGATTATTTTATGTTTTCTAGAAGTGGGCCTGGGTGGATGAGTTGTATTTAATTCCTGAAGCATTTCTCGTGATATTAGAGTTCTAAAGTAGACTCTGAATAAACCAGTGGCTGTGTACATAAAATGTTAAATATTTCTGTATGTGTTCTAAACTAACTCAAAAAGAAGTAGTTCCTTTTATAGTAGTTTAAGCACAATATCAAGGCTCAGAACCCTATTAATACTTAAAGGATCCTTGATACTGATTTCCAGAGCTATGAATTGCTAATTCGAGTTAACTATTACAAAATATTCAAACATGCCAGGTCAAGAATGTCAGCTATTCTACATAGCAAATCATAAAACAAGCAATAAAATCACCTACTCTGAAATCCCATTTACAAGTCAGATTATATTGCTTTTTTTCTGTCTGGACACATTTCTTCTATGTGATATTTTTCTTTCAGGTCACATTTTGCATCATGTGAATATTGGACTGAAGGTCAAACAATGTGTTCATCAGATTCCTTCTGTTATGATGGAAGCATCCATTCAGCCTATCACACGGACTGTCCTCCGAGTGACACTCAGCATCTACCCTGATTTCACATGGAATGATCAGGTAGAAGTGGAAAATATCTATATCTATATTAAACTAAAATGTCTGTACCTCAGATTTTACTACACCTCCCTACATCTGTCCTCAGAGAGCCTAGGGAACTTAACATTGCAACACTGGACAATATTTTAGTGGTTTCAAATCCATGAGAACTTTGCCATTTATTTTTGCCCTCTCTATTGACTCTCATTTTTGCTTACCAAAAATCCATTTTTAAATCATGATGTCTCTCAAAATACTGTTCTCTCCTTTTCTTAAACATTAGACTTGTAGAAAAGGTATTCTACATTTTCTTTCTTGTCACCAGTTTCTTTTCTGCTGAGACCACTTCCTCAAGGATCTCTAATATCTGATTGACCAGTTGCCATAACCAGCAGATTTTTCAGTTATTTTCCTTCTCTGATTAAATAGCATTTTATACATAGCTCTTCCCTAGAATGTCCTTTCTTGATTCTTATCATGTTTCTATTTCTACTTTTATTCCTCCTTTTCCTGCTTTAATACTTAGATGTTCTTCAATATCTTATATGTGTTTACCAACATAMTGGTAAACATACATGTAAAAACCTACTTTGTATTCTCTTATTCTATCAATAGCTTTTAATATATATCCTTTGACTAGTTACTGTGTTAGAAATTGTAYATACAAAAGGCAAATAGGACTCAGTCTTCAGTTTCAAAAAACTAACTGGGGAAGGCAAGTAAATCAGAAACTGTATATAACAATGCTTACATCGAGTAGTCTTATAAAATTCTAGTTAAATGTATTTGGATACTTCCTATATTAGTTAACATTTGTACATCTTTAATGTAAATGAATTTTGTTCAGCAGTGTGTTCTAAAAATCACCCATCCATGTTATAATTTTTTTTTATTGTTGGTCGTTCAAAACATTACATAGTTCTTAATACATCATATTTTGCAGTTTGATTYAAGTGGGTTATGAACTCCCAATTTTACCCCGTATACAGATTGCTGTATCACATCAGTTACCCTTCCATTGATTGACATATTGCCTTTCTCGTGTCTGATGTATTCTGCTGTCTGTCCTATTCTCTACTATCCCCCCTCCCCTCCCCTCCCCTCCCCTTTTCTCTCTCTACCCCTTCTACTGTAAATCATTTCTTCCATTTGTATTATCTTGTCTTACCCCTCCTTTCCTCTTATATGTCATTTTGTTATAATTTAATTCTACATTGTCATTAAAGCATTCAGACCTTTAATTCCTAAAGCATTCCTAATTCCTATTTTTCTCACAGTATATGAGCACTAGTTGATAACACCAAATTACAGTTAATATTTTTATAAATATGAAATTTTATATAAAATATAAAATTATATTTAAGTATAAGCTCATTTGAAATTTTTGATTGTTTTTAAAGGAATGGAAGTTTCATTATTTTTTCACATGGTTTTCTACTATTGCTATTCATAATAAATCATAATTTAGTTTTATTAATTAATAGGAGAAAGTATTTAATTGTTTTTATAATTAACTCTCTTATAATGCTATTAGCTTCAAGAATGTAAAACCTAACTTGCCTCAATCTGATTTACGTAAGGTAATATATCCTTTTGTGCAATAAAAGGTCCACAGATCAGATAGGCCCTAAGGATGGTCCAGTCTTGAGGTTAATAGTATTGTTCAAGGCCCAAGATCTTTCCACTTCTTTGCTCTGCTCGCACTGTTGGATACTTCTCAAATGTTTTTCTGCTTCTTTTTCACTTTTAATGAAGTAAGGGGAACACATACCCACTTCCTCAGCCCACAACATAAACTGTAAGCCCTCTTGCCACACATACACGCACCCCCCCCCAGTCTAATTAGGCCAAGTGTTTGTTATGGACTTCTCCTTTACTATAGATATTGTCAGGAGAATGCCATGAGCTGATTGGCTTTATGTGAATCAAAATTATCCCAGGTGTTATGGTTTAAATGTGGTATCCCCCAAAAGCTCATGTGAGACAGTACAAGAAGATTTAGAGGAGAAATGATTGGGATGTGATCTCCTTTTCATGAGTCCCTGAGGAAGAAGTGAATACTGAACAGTATTGGACCATATAAGGAAAAAAGAGATTGGCTTATATAAACAAAATATGGTATATGTGTCCAGTGGAATATTATTTGACAATAAAAAGAAGCAAAGTACTGATGCARTTTAAAACATGGATGAACTATAAAAATATTATGGTAAGTTTAAAAAGCCAGTCACAGAAGACTATATGTTATATCATTCCATTTAACAAAGTGTTTAGAATAGCCATGTCCATACTTCTAATGAATATAAGTACTCTCTTGGAGGTGATAAAAATGTTCTAAAATTAGATTATGTTCATAGTTGTACAACTTTGTAAATATGTTAAAACCATTGAACTGTATACTTTAAATGAGTGAACCTTGTTTTATAAATTATATATCAAAAAAGTTGTTAGACTAATAGTTGCTGATATGTAAACAGTACTGTTACTTGAGTTATGATTTTCATAGTACTAGGATAATTTTTCTTCTAGGTCCATGGGACAGTAGGAGAACCCTGGTGGATTTGGGTGGAAGATCCTACAAATGATCATATTTATCATTCAGAGTATTTTCTAGCTCTTAAAAAACAGGTGAATATAACCTTATTATTTAGCTATCATAAAAAAATATAAACAATTTTTGTTTTTTACTATCTCTCTGATTTCAGAGTGCCATGAAAGTTTTGTTATGTTCTGTTTTTCTGTTTGGTTTCAAAGGAACACAGAGATTCAGTGTGACAATATTGATTATTCAGTCTGATCCTAGTTCAAGAAATTCATTTATAATCTTTACCATGGTTTAAGGCATGGCTTCTAGAGRCGTGGAATATATAAAATAAGGGGGATAAAAATAATTTCCTGCAAAATAATAAATCACTTAGTGAAAAGATCATTCCTTGTAAAATTCTCTGTAAAGACTCAATAGTTGCTACATCTTTAACTCATGTTTTATTTRTAATTTCTCTTTTTATCAAAGAGAAAGCAAGCTTGCGATTGAAAGTCTTGACTGGATAGCAATAGTATTTTATAGCAATATTTTGTTTTCATGCATTTATCTTCTTGTTAACCATATAACCTATTTATTTTTAAGAGATTTCAGGTATTCCACTTAAGATACTGATCAGATTTAAAGAAAAATATTAAGTAAATAATAATATGGTACTTGAAATTATAGAAATCATGAAGTAATTGAATGAATCATGTTTGGGAAATTCTGATAGTGAATCAAACTGGTAACATGTCATAATGATAACATATATATAAATAATATAAAGTTAGTATAAATTCTGAATTTCTCTTATGTCAAATAATCCTCAGAAGGAAATCRCCTACAAGTTACTGTAGTACCTGAATATCTGAGCTATTTAGAAATCCAACATATTTTATTTTTATTATGTCTTGTATAGATACTATTAAGAATTGACTACTAAGAACTTTATTTATTTTAGACTTTATTTCACATTAGGTCATTAGTAAAGAAGCTCAACTACTGGTATTTACAATCCCTATTTTTGAACCTTTGCCTTCCCAATACTATATCCGAGCAGTTTCTGATAGATGGTTAGGAGCGGAGGCTGTTTGTATTATCAACTTCCAACATCTGATTCTACCAGAGAGGCATCCGCCCCATACAGGTAACAAATTGAACATTAWTGTGTTGATGTGAATTATTGACTTCCCAAAATTGTTATTTTAATTAATGTTGACAAGTATAAAGTTGTTTTATTTTGAATCAAAGTCCAACTTACTTGACAATATTGTTTCTAAACTGTATATTCAAAATTTTCAAAATCAAATATGTATATGTWGATAGTCAAATTGTGGACCTTTAATTTTTGTTTATTTAAGCTCCAAAAGCATTAAAGTAGGCTTAGTCAATTCTGATAATTATAGTAATGATGAGAGTTACTATTTCTGTGTTACTGGACTTTCATCTGTACATATAATCATTATTTCTCCATATAGCCTTCCTTTTTCATTGCAATTGTCATTTATCATTTAATCTGTATTCTCTGTGAAACTTTTGAGATATCTCTTTTTTCTTACATTTATTCCAATTTACATAAACTTATTTCTAGTACAGGTTATCTTTTATCCAAAATGTTTAAAACACAAAGTGTTTCAAATTTCACATTTTTTTTTCAGATTTTGGAATGTTCGTATATATATATATATATATATAAAACAAATTATTAAAAGGGATATATAGTAAGAGCATTCAGCAGCATTTTTTATTGTTGTAATATATAAACTCTAGGTTTTCATAACATGAACAAATGCCTTTCTATTTTGATTTATTAAAAAAGCAAAATTTCATGAAGAAATCTTTGCAGTGATACATTTAAGTACCCCTTAAATCTATTTCAAAAACATCTTGAAACTAATTAGTGTACTAATTTCATTTCTTGAGAATTCATAATTGATGAGTATTGATTTTCAGAGATCCTTAATTTACTTTACAGACATAAATTAGGAGTCAAATTTTCTTTCCCATATATTTCAGACAAACTGTTTGACTTTTCAGAATAAAAATGTTTTCTGACTACTTTAAATAGCATGCTATTTGACAGTCTTTTCAGAAGTGAAAGGAGACCTAAATATGACTTTATAATCTTTCATTTTGTCAAATGTACACCTTATTCATATTATTCATTGAGAGATTCTTTATACTACATCTCAATTTCTCTTTGATATCTTGGCATAGCAAAACCAAAAAATTTTATCAAAATACAATGATATTGAGACTGTATTATCTAGTAATCTACTTATTGCAGAGGGTCTTTCTGGTCTTATTTCATCAAATGTGCTTTTGTGATATCTAGAATCTCATAAGTTCAAAATATGTGGAAGTGATGATGTTTTAACTTAAAATATATGCTTCCAATATCATTGCTAGGTTTCTTTCTTTCATTAAAGTACTTAATTCTACATATATTAGCATTATATGTTAATGCCAATTTAATAATTTCTTTGTTACGCAACCAAATACATATCAACCTATTTATATAATTAGCTGATGTAGTATAAACATACCATCTAGGTAAAATCACTGTAATAGATCATCTTAATTTAACATTGTCAATAACTGTGCATTTGACATTGTACAATGTTTAATTTTTAGTCTTTTATTTAAAAAAAAATATGTTTGATTAGCATTGCATGCCTTATCTTGCAATGTCTCCCTCCTTCCTGGATTTCCAGTGCTATGGAAAATTTAAACAATTATAATCAGACAGAGAGAGTATGACAGAGAGAGTATGAAGTTAGCTCTCAGCTATCCTTGTAATAGAATAGAGCAATGGGTGGGGCAAAGATAACTTTTTAAAGTCATCTTTTTATTTTGTTTTTTTTTTTCCTTTAGGGACAAGGTACCCAGGATTGAACCCAAAGGGCACTTAACCACTGAAGCACATCCCCAGTCTTTTTATTATTATTATTTTGAGAGATAGGATATCACTAAGTTGCTGAGGCTGTCGTTCAACTTGGGATCTTTCTGTCTCAGCCTCTGAGCTGCTGGAATTATAGGCCTGTGCCACCATGCCCAACTAAGTTAGTTTTTGTTTTTAAGTACATTTTTTAGAAGAAAATTTAYCATATTTTTCATTTTGCAACCATACTATAAAGGTCAGATCAATGTGTCCTCTTAACTGATTTTTTTATATCTTCTTTTTTAAACTTTTCTAATAATTATCTAATTTCTTCGGCACCCAGTCTGTATAATGAGAAACAACCAAATCTAGTGTCTTTCAATACATAAATTTACTTTACAGACATAAATTTCAGCAATGATTAGTGAAAGTAAGAAGACCTGTACCCTTTAAGGAAAGAGTTTTTTGTTTCGTTTCGTTTTGTTTTACTCAGTCATGCTGTGTTCTGAAACTACTATCCTTGTTCCTTCCTGAATAAGGCTAAATTCATTTTTGTTTCCATTGGCTGTACCAAAAGCTCACTCAGCTACTCAGGATTGGTCAGTATCTAGCAGATCAAAAGTAATCTGTTGTTAGTGACCCTTCCAATACTGCTGTTTACAAATGGTTTTCATTGTTTTACAAATTACGGCAGATTTATTTTTGTACCATAACATACATACTTTCATGTACTTTTATTCAAGTYATTTCCCTTTTTGGAAGAGAAATATATAGTTGGTTTATAGGTTTATAGGGAACTCTACAATAAAAGTGTTCTGTTTATCAGTTATGTTAAATGTAGTGACTGAATAAGATGTGTCACTGGTGTATAAGAACTTATGTTAAATATGTTCTTCTCTTGAGATAATTAGGAAGTGTTATTCTTTAAAATATAGTATTCAGTATTGTGCATGTTTTTTCAGTTATTGTATAGAAGTACCTGTTGGATCTTTTCAGAATTACTGGATCTTCAGCCTTTGCCAATTACGGCTTTGGGATGTAAAGCATATGAAGCGCTGTACAACTTCAGCCACTTTAACCCTGTGCAGACACAAATATTTCATACACTGTATCACACAGACTGTAATGTCCTACTTGGAGCACCCACTGGATCARGAAAGACTGTTGCAGCTGAATTAGCTATTTTCAGAGTCTTCAACAAGTATCCCTCCTCAAAGGTATGTTGAACATATTGTGTGCTTATTATATTCAATTAGAAAAGATAGTTAATGTCTCTAAACTAGCCAGGTCCAAATATCCTGACATACCCTGGTGAATAGCTTTGTTATACTCTCAGTGAATTTTCCAGGGGGCCAGATCAGTATTAGAATAATTTGTTGCAAAAAATATTGATATCAGCTTTGGAGTCTTCTATATGAATTTCTCATGTATATAGTGCTCACACATCCTCATATCTATAATTCATGGGTACTTCTTTTATGAGGTAATTAATTCTTAGCTGTACTTGTTAGGTATATAATGATTCATAATCATTCTTTGGATATGAATGAAATGCTAATACTTTAAAACACTTTGATTATACACAGGAAATATAGACATAACTTATGCTACATTCCTCCAAATATTGATATTATCAATTAATGTCAAATAACACCGGAATCAAATAAGTATTGATTTTTAATTTTTTAAAAACATAATATTTAGTAAATTTTCCCCAATACTATTTTATTTTTAATAAAAATGATTTATATTTGAGGTGTTCAATGTGATACTTAAATGTACATATACATTATAAAATAATTGCTAGAATCAAGATAGCTCAGATATCCATCACTTCAGATAATTACATATGTTTGCAGTGGGAACATTTAATATCTAGTCAGCAAATTTCAAGTCTATTCATACGATATTATTAAATACAGTCACCATTCTGTACTTTAGATCTCTAGAACTTGTTCTACATAAATGAAACTTTGTATCCTTTAAGCAATATCTCCTCATATCCCCCATTTTCACCCCTCTTAACCATTATTTTACTCTGCTTCTATGAATTTGGCTTTTTTAAATTGCACCTGTCAGTGAAATTATGTTTTGTTGTTTTCAGCTTATTTCTCTTAACACAATGTATATTATTGCAAATGGCAAGATTTTCTTCTTTTGTAAAGCTGAAAGATCTCCCATTGTGTTTCAGTTTCTTTTTTCATCCATCTTGAGTCACGTAGACTGTTTCTTTATCTTGGCTTTTCTAATCAATGATGTAATAAACATAGAAGTGTACATGTCTTTGATATATTGATCTCATTTCTTTTGGATATGTATTCAAAAGTAGAATTCCTATGATGATGATGATGTTTTCTATGTATAATTTCTTAAGGCTCTCCATGTGTATTTTCCATAATGGCTTCCCCGACTACATTTCTACCAGCAGTGTGTAGCAGTTTCCTTTTCTCCACATCCTTGCCAATACTTTCATTGTTTTAATAATATTCGTTCTAACAGATGTGAGGTGTTGACTCATTGTGATTTCTAAAAAATATTTATTTTTTAGTTGCTGTTGGATACAATACCTTGATTTTATTTATTTTTATGTGATGCTGAGGATCAAACCCAGGGCCTCTCATGTGCTAGACGTGTGCTCTACCACTGAGCCACAACCCCAGCCCTCATTGTGATTTTGATTTGCATTTCCCAAATGATTAGTGAAAGTAAGCACCTTTTCATGTCTGTTAGCCATTCTGTATTTCAACAGAATGATATCTATTKGCCTCATTTGTCCCTCCACCTTTTTTTTTCTATAATAGAATTTTTAGGCTTTTTGTTCTTGGTGAGTTCCTTATATGTTTTGGATATTAACACCTTAYTAACATCTGCAAGTATTTTCTCCTATTACATATGTTATTTTTTTAATTCATTGATTGCTTCCTTTTTTGTGCAGAAGGTTTGTAGCTTTGGTGCACCCCTGTTTGTTTATTTGTACCTTTTTTTCCCTGTGTTCCTGGGAACATATTCAAAAACTCATTGCTAAGACCAGTGTCAAGATCTTTTCCCCTGTTTTCTTCTAGGAGTTTTATGGTTTCAGATCTCACATCTAAGTTTTTAGTAAATTTCAAGATAATTTTTGCATATGGTGTAAGACAAGGTTCCAGTTTYATTCTGTTAAATGTAGATGTTCAATTTTCTCAACACCATTTATTGAAGCCTATCCTTTTCCTTCTTGGTATTCTTGTCAGATTAGTGACAAGATGTGTGTTTATTTCTAGACTCTATTCTGTTCTGTTAGTCTATGTGTATATGTTGGTGCCAGCACCATACTATCTTAATTATTGAAGCTTTGTACTATAATTTGTAGTCAAGAAGTAGAATGCCTCTTACTTTATTCTTTCTCAAGATTTCTTTGGTTTTTTGGTTCTTCATGGTTCCTTAATAATTTAGATTTTTTCTATCTCTAAGAAAAATGCTATTGGCATTTGTTAGGGATTACATTGAATCTGTAGATTGTTCTGGGTAGGTCATTTCTTACTTTTTTTTCAGTTAAACATTTAATTTTATTTTATATGCTTATAAAACAGCATAATGTGTCTCAGATTGCAATAAAATCTGGAAAGTGGAAGCTGGAAAAGGAGACTGTGATCCAGAATGGGTAGACACTTTTTCATACTTTATCATGGCAAGTTTCAAAACTTCACTGGACTTTTATTCCTTGATGAAATAGATGAACTGTGATTGCACACGTTCATTCTGGTTCTCATGTTGAGAAATTTTCTCTGTTGTTATCAGTACTCCTTGAATAAATGTAGAAACAGGGCAAACTTAATTTAACTAAATAAAACCCCAAAGGAAACAGAATGATTTCATTACATGAAATCAATCAGGGGCTTCCAAATTTTTCCACAGTTTTTCAAAGAAAGAAAATCAGGTTTTTGTTCTACCCCCACTACCAATTTATTATATGACAGAAGGGACGTCACAACTTCTCTGGAACTTTTTCMTAAAAAATTGTATYAAATCATTTGTAAAGTCCCCATTATTTCTGAAATTCTAGAGTTCTTTGATTTCAGCTATAACCTCATGAAAAAGAAAGGGTTTTTTYCTTTTTTATCATTATTAATTTTTACATGACAGTAGAGTATATTTTGAAATATTATACATACATAGAATAAGTATAACTTGTTACAATTAAGATACTATTATTGTGGTTGTACATGATATAGTGTTACACTGGTCATTTATTTATATATGAGGATAGGAATGATATTCCATATTCATTCTACTGTCTTTCCTATTGCAGTCACCCCCTCCCTTTCCTTCATTTCCCTTTGTCTAGTCCAGTGAATTTCTAATCTTCCCCTCCTTTGTTGTGACTTATCATCCACATATCAGAAAGAACATTCTGCCTTTGGATCTTTGTGACTGACTTATTTAACTTAGCGTGATATTCTTTAGTTCCATTTACTTACAAGCAAATGCCATAATTTCATTCTTCTTTATGACTAAGTAATATTCTATTGTGTATATATACCACAATTTTTTCATCCATTCATCTCTTCAAGGGCACCTAGGTTGGTATCATAGCTATTTTGAATTGAGCTGCTATAAACATTGAAGTAGCTGTGTCACTGTAGTATGCTGATTTTAAGTCCTTTGGATGTAAAGAAAGGAGTGGAATAACAGGGTCAAATGGTAGTTCCATTCCAGTTTTCTATTTTATTATTATTATTTCTTACATACATGACATAGTGGAGTGCAATACATTCATAATTTTTTGCATTACGATTCTTAATACACCTTTATACCACAATTTATCAAACCTCTGTTTTTATAGTGTTGACGCTAGCTCAGCAGTTCCTTCGACACAGAATGTACAACCATTCCAAGTTTTCTAAGGAATCTCCAGACTGCTTTCTGAGTGTTTGCACCAATTTGCAGTCCCACCAACAATGTATAAATGAACCTCTGTCATTCTGACTGGGGTGAGATGGATTTTCAGTGTAGCTTTGATTTGTTTTTCTCTAATTGCTAGAGATGTTGAACATTTTTTCATATATTTTTTGACCATTCATATTTTTTCTTCTGAGAAGTGCCTGTTTAGTTCCTTAACCCATTTGTCAGTTGGGTTATTTGTTTTTGTTGTTGTTGTTGTTATTTACTTATTTGGTTAAGTATATATCCTGGAGATTAATGTTCTGTCTGAGATGTTGGTGGCAAAGATTTTCTTCCATATTGTAAGCTCTCTGTTCACCTTCTTGATTGTTTCCTTTGCTGTGAAGAAACTTTTTATTGATTTTTTTATTGATTCTTTATTTTATTTCTTGTGCTTTAGGAATCTTATTGAGGAAGTCGTTTCCTAAGCCAACATGGTGGAGAGTTGGTCCTAATTTTTCTTCTAGCATGTACAAAGTCTCTGGTCTAATGCCTAAGTCCTTGATCCACTTTGAGTTGAGTTTTGTGCAGGGTGAGAGACAGAGGTTCTTTGATTGATATTGTATATTTTCCATGGAAAGATTTTTATCTTCTTGATTAAATTCTAAGTATCTTTTGATGTTGTTGTGAATGGAATTGTTTTCTTTATTTCTTTTCAGATAACTCATTGTTAGTTTTAACAAATGCTACTGATTTTTGTTTATTGATTTTTATGTCTTGTGCCTTTCTTGACTTTGCTTATTAATTCTAGCAGGTTTTYTTTTAATGTAGCATTTAAGGTTTTCTTGTTTTTAAATTGTATGAGTACATTACATTTGAAATAGAGGTATCTTAGACATGTTGCAATTATGTGCTGTTTCTTCATCATTTGTGATTTCAGAAATATTCAGACTTCCTTTTTCCATGATTTTCATTTAGTGTTGTTTCTTTCTTACTTTGTTTCTCTATTTTTTAAAATATATTTTTGTAGAWGTATGGGCCTTATTTTATTCATTTATTTATATGTGGTGCTGAGAATTGAACCCAGTATTTTTAATCTGTTATATAATTATTGATTCACAAAGATATTTTAGTAAAAAAGAAGAGTTAAGTTTTGCGCATGGTGAGAGATAGAGGTTTAATTTCATTTTGTTGCATATGGATTTTCAGTTTTCCCAGCACCATTTGTTGAAGAGGTTATCTTTTCTCCAGTGCATGTTCTTGGCACCTTTGTCTAATATAAAATAATTGTAGTTTTGTGGATTAGTCTCTATGTCCTCTATTCTGTACCATTGGTCTACCAATCTGTTTTGGTGCCAATACCAGGCCGTTTTTGTTACTATTGCTCTGTAGTATAAATTATGGTCTGGTATAGTGATGCCACCTGCTTCAATCTTCCTGCTAAGGATTGTTTACCCTGCGTCTAATAGAAGAAAAAGTAAGCCCTAATCTCCATCATGTGGGATTAGGCCCCAACTTCCTTAATAAGCCTCCTGTGGCGCAAGAATTAAAATCAAGAATCAATAAATGGGATGGACTCAAACTAAAAAGTTTCTTCTCMGCAAAAGAAACAATAAGTGAGATGAATAGAGAGCCTCCATCTTGGAACCAAATTTTTACCCCTCACACATCAGATAGATCACAATCTTAATCTCTACGGTATATAAAGAACTCAAAAAGCTAAACACCAAAAGAACAAATAACCCAATCAATAAATGGGCCAAGGACCTGAACAGACACTTCTCAGAAGATGATGTACAATCAGTCAACAAATACTTGAAAAAATGTTCATCATCACTAGCAATTAGAGAAATGCAAATCAAAACCACTCAGATTTCATCTCRCTCCAGGCAGCTATTAAGAATACAAACAACAATAAGTGTTGGTGAGGATGTGGGGAAAAAGTTACACTCATACACTGCTGGTGGGACTGCAAATTGGTGCAGCCAATATGGAAAGCAGTATGGAGATTTCTTGGAAAATTAGGAATGGAACCACCATTTGACCCAGCTATTCCTGTCCTCGGACCATACCCAAAGGACTTAAAAACAGCATACTACAGGGACACAGCCACATGGATGTTTATAGCAGCACAATTCACAATAGCTAAACTGTGGAGCCAACCTAGATGCCCTTCAATAGATGAACGGATTTTTAAAATGTGGCATATATACACAATGGAATATTACTCAGCAATTAAAAAAGTAAAATCATTGCATTTGTAGGTAAGTGGATGGTGTTGAAGAAGATAATGCTAAGTGAAGTTAACAAATCCCAAAAAAACAAATGCAGAATGTTTTTTCGGATATAAGGAGGCTGATTTGTAGTGGGGTGGGGAGTGGGAGCATGGGAGGAATAGACAAACTCTAGATAGGGCAGAGGGTTTGGAGGGAAAGGCAGCATTCTCTCACATTAATAAGGTGTTATTAATGATGGTGGAATGTGATGATCATTATTATACAAAGTATATGTATGAAGACATGAATTGGTGTGAATATATTGTGTCTACAGCCAGAGATATGAAAAATTGTGCTCTATATATGTAATAAGAATTGTAATGCATTCTGCTGTCATATTTAAAAAAATCAAAAAGAAGAGTTAATACTCTAGTTTGAGACATTTTTTAAAGAAGTGCTGTTTTAGTGAATAATGTAGTTTATAAAATTGAAACAGCTAAAATATATGACTGGAATTTGTTAAGATCTGCGTTAAAATTTAAACAGCTAGCTTATTTCTTATACATTGTTGATGGGACTTCAAATTAGTATAGCTACTTTGGAAAGCGATATGGAGATTTCCCCAAAGACCAGAAATTGAAACACCATATGATCCAGCTATCCCACTCCTTGGTATTAATCCAAAAGGTTTAAATCAGCATACGGGTACATCAATCTTTATAGAAATGCAAGTCATAATACTCAAGTTATGGAACCAGCCCAAGGGCCCATCAACAAATGACTGGGTAAAGAAACTGGTATATATATACATGGAAACTGCATATACACATGGAATTTTACTCAACTATAATTATGGCATTTTCCAGTAAATAGATGGAACTGAAGAACATTGTGCTAAGAGAAATAAGCCATATATGTCAGAAAGGATTGAATTCTTTTTTTTTTTTTCACATGTGGAAGCTAGAGCAAAATGAGGGGGAAAAGAGGGAAGGGGAATTATTTGAAAATAGAAGGGAGATCAGTGGAGTAGAGAAAGGGAACAGAGGGGGAAGGAGGTGGGACAGGGAAAGAGAGGAACTGTAGAATGCAATAGACCAAAGTATGCTATCTGAATTCCACATTTATATATAACTATAAAGCACCAATTAAAAATAAATAAATAAGAAGGAGGACCAGTAGAGTAGAAAACAGGGAAGAGGGAATGGAAAGCAGCAGCACTGTGAGCTAAAATGGATCATCAAATTATATTCCATGCGTATGTGATTATATCAAAATGAACCCCAATATTATGTATGACTACAATGTACTAATAAAAGTGCTAAAAGTAATAATTTAAAAACCTTGAAAAAAAACTTCAAAATATATTACTTCAAAATACATTATTTCAGGAGTTACAGCTTTGTTAAATCTTGAGCATAATAGGAAGTCATATATTTATTTTTGTCAAAATCCTAATTTTTTGTGTAATATATGTTCTCATAGTTTTATAAATGTATTAACATTGTTAGAACATAATTTCATTATAAAATGCCTAAGGAAAATACCTTTAGTGTTTTTTGTATTTTAAATTCACCTGTTAGTATTTTTATGATAGAATGTTTATGATGCATTAATTTTCTGCTTTATTTTGGATATGTGTAGTTTAACTTAATGACTTTTTCTCAATAATTTAAAAATTTAAGTATTCTGTGAAATTTTAAAACCACACTGTCCTGTTTTGACAAATTTTGTTTATTTTATTTGAAAAATGACCTTACTGTTCTCTTTAAAGTCCTATTGCTCATTGCTCCCTCTTTAGGCGGTTTATATTGCACCCCTAAAAGCCCTAGTTCGTGAAAGAATGGATGACTGGAAGGTTAGAATAGAAGAAAAACTTGGTAAAAAGTAAGTTCCTTTTTTTGTTCAAGAGATACACTTTCAATAGTCTGAAAAGACCAATAAATGAAAGAGTTGCATAATACCTATGAATATGTTTACAGTGTTTTTTTTAATCTTTTAAGAGTTCATAGCTACTATTAAAATGGTGTCAATATTCCCATGTTTTAAGATTGAAAAATGAACTTCTTTTAATTTCTTAATATGAATACTTTTTGGTGGCAGCTAATTTTTTCTATATATATTATAGTACATATATATAATTTTTCATATTTTTAGTTGTAGATGGACACAATATCTTAATTTTATTTATTTATTTTTATGTGGTGCTGAACCCAGTGCCTCACATGTACTAGGCAAGCATTCTCTCACTGAGCTATACTCCCAATCCCTTCAATATGTTCTCATTGTAAAAGAAACATGTTATTTCTCTTTAGTTTTTTCTCATGTTGTTCAGAGTAAATTCTAGAAACCATTTAAAAGGCATTGTGTATGGAGAGTATTTATGACATATAAAACTTCTGTGATGAATATATTGTGTTTTTACTTACTATTTTTGAATATTACAAAACCATTCATTACAGTATATAGCAAATGATTGTGGATAATTATATGTCCAATAGAGCATCACTAATTATATACCTCTACCCAATGCAAAATATTGTATAACTATATAGATCAATGAGCTTTTTTACACTGAATAAATGATCTCCAGGAATAATTGGAAAAAATAAGACTTTTAAGTAAACTATCCTATCCCTTTTTTAAAAAAACAATAAGATACAAATATATGAATGCTTTTGGATGAGAATTAGGTGGGATGTTCCGGAGATGATTCACAACATATTCTTTGAATAATGTGAATATATTATATATTCAGTATCCTGGTATGTTTTAATTTATTTGTTACCTTGAGAAAATTTAAACCTAAGAAATGAAAGTTATACACAATCTATTATTATTGAGTGTCCCCTTTTATCAAGTTAATACTTTCCCTCATTAAAAAAAATAATGATGTTTATTTCCAAAAATGTTTTTCCCCCCAAAGAAAAAAGATTTTAGTTCCACTCTGTAGAGAAGGAGATAGAAATTCACCTTTATAAATTCACTTAAAGATTCTATAAATATAGTCAAAACAAAGTCTGACACTTTTGTACATCTGTATAAAAGATGTGTGAATGAATTGGATTTACATTTTTGACTCATTTCCGAAAATTTCAGAAATCAAAGAGGAAAAAAGTAGTTTTAAGCATCATAAAATTTTATTGGAATATATCAATATTGTTGCCTTTACAAGATTATGTGTTACTTGAGAGTCATTTTTATTTCCCTCCAGAGTTATTGAACTAACAGGGGATGTGACTCCTGATATGAAATCCATTGCCCAGGCTGACCTTATTGTCACTACACCAGAAAAGTGGGATGGAGTCAGCAGAAGCTGGCAAAATAGGAACTATGTTCAGCAAGTTACTATTCTCATCATAGATGAAATTCATCTGCTTGGTTGGTACCACTTTGAGTCTTTTTATTGATATTATTTTTATTTATTTTTATTGATATTATCTATTTATTTTTATTGATATTATTTTTAATTGACAGATAATTGTATATAATGTTGGGGTACAATGTAATATTTTAAGATGTGCACACATACGCACATACATACGCGCACACAGAGTGTGGAATAATTAAATCAAGCAAATTAACATCTGTTACATCAATTAGAATTTTTATGGTGAAACATTAGAAATTTACTCTTTTAGCAATTTTTAAATATACATTTAGCTTTTTCATTTCTTTCTGACTGAAAGACCTGACCAGAACTATTTTAGAGGAGTAAAGTTCGTTAGGTTCTCATGTTTTAACAGGTCTCAGTCTATAAATGTTCAGTTTCATTGCTGTGGGCCTGAGGTACAGCAGAACATCATGGCAGCTCAGTTTATGGCAATCATGAAGCAGAAAGAACTCTGCTCACCAGAGACAAAATATAAACCCCAAAGGCAAATACCTAGTGACCTGTCTCCTCCAGCTATATTCTGCCTGCCTAGAATTACCACCCAGTTAATCCATATCACTGGGTTAACCCACATAGATTACAACACTTATTATCATTTCTCCTCTGAGTGTTCTTGCATTGTCTCACACATGAGCTTTTGGGGAAACCACATATCACAACTATAACATACATTATTATTGACTATAGTTGGCCTGGTGTACTGTGTATACTCACACACTCCTGTCTAAATGAAACTTCATATCCTTTGGTCAATATCTCCCTATTCCTTTTCAACCCCCAGCATCTGGCAACTACCAGTCTACTCTTTATATCAATTTTGACTTTTTTTTTATTCCACATTCCATTTAGATCATTCAGTTTTTTTCCTGGCTTTATTCTTTTTACATAATGCCCTCCAACTTCATCCATAGTGTTACAAATGACAGAATTTCATTCTTTTTTATTGCTTAAAAGTATAAACATATACATATATGCAAATACACACATGAACACACACTTATATATACATAGCACATTTTCTTTATCTATTCATTTGGTAATGGTCACTTAGGTGGATTCCATTTCTTAGCTATTATGAACAATGCTGCATTGAACTTGAAAGCACATATATCTCTTAAGCATATTGATTTCATTTCCTTTGGATATATACCCAGAAATGGGATTACTCTATCATATTGTAGTGTTATCTTTAGGTTTTTGAGGAACCTATAAACTTGACTTCATGCCTGCCTACAGCAGCCACTTTGAATTTGTCAAATGATTAATGTATTATTATTCTTATTTCCTAGGGGAAGAAAGAGGTCCTGTTCTAGAAGTCATTGTATCTCGAACAAATTTTATCTCCTCACACACAGAAAAGCCTGTTAGGATAGTTGGACTGTCTACTGCATTAGCTAATGCTAGAGACCTTGCTGACTGGCTAAATATTAAGCAGGTATGTGAAAGATGGATAAGTCAGGCAGTAACATGACACAGGTTGCCACATTAAGGAGACATCATAACATTATGAACATATATATGTTTGTATAATATATAAATTGAAATGGTTTCTCTCATCTTAACTATAGATGGGCTTGTTCAACTTCCGACCATCAGTACGCCCTGTTCCACTGGAAGTTCATATTCAAGGCTTCCCAGGTCAACATTACTGTCCCCGCATGGCAAGTATGAACAAGCCTGCATTTCAGGGTGAGCTTCAGTTTCTACTATTTCAGATTGAAATAGTAACCATTCTGTATTATAGCTATCAATTGTATTCTAAATGGTTTGGGTTTATTTTAAAGGGCAATAGTGGTCCAACTTATGCAAATATCTAAAGCTGATTACTTCAACTGTTAAGGAATATATATGTTAAACTACATTGAAATTAGACATATCTCACAAAAGTGTCTTTGTAGTAGGATAAAAATATGTAATTTTGAAAGCAATCAAATAATTCTATAAACATTTTCTTTAGGACAATTACTAGTTTAAACAATGATCAATAGAAAGAAGTAAAAATTCACATAATCTTTATTTTTACTAGAAACCATAAAACTTTCAGTACTTTTTTTACAGTAATTTAGTTTTTGTTTTGTTTTTTCATTTTTCCATTTCTAAAAAATTCGTCAAACAAGAAAGATTTAAGAATAACACTCCTATTTTATTGAAACATGTTTAATTTAGACTACATTAGGAATATTTATTGTATCAATTAAAAATAACCTATTAAATAAATTCTCTAGTGTGAACTGCTGTTGATTGTGAGGTGACTTTTTAGCTTCTGTAATTAGCCTTATGACAGAAGCAAAGTATTGATTGTAAGCTAGAGACCAATCTCAGCCATTCAGATTATTTACACCTCCACAGAAGCATTGTACAAAATCACTAATGAACAATAAATCTGCTGGGAACTGTTCAGCTACACCTGTTCTTGTAGCAGCAAAAATCCATTAAATGTTGTGGTTTAAAAAAGAGACAAATTCATTCATGATTGTGTGTACAAATGATACCAATATTGTAATAATATGTGAGTTTAAACATTGCTTTTGTAATGATTTACAATCAATTTATCCTTTATATACTATACTATTCTAATAAATGGTTTTAAAAAGTGGGAAATAAGATAAATGAGTATATTTTTCATAATGTGTATAGTTGAAAATGTGTGTATCTATTTAAGAAATGGCTGATTGCATACCATTAATGGAAATAAAGCATTTTGTATTTTGTAAATCAATAGTAAATAGCTGAAATTCCTGCACTTCTTAAGATACAGTATCAGCACAACTGCTGTCCTTAAAAACTATTTATTACACTGGTAGTGATTACTTATTTCTTTGAATTTAGAAATATGATTTTATGATAGCTTTATTTCTCACCATTAGAGTATAAATATAGTCAAGGTCATGTCAGCATTTCCATTATAAACCTTACATCTCAGGCCATAAAAAGGAATTCTTTACATTTCAAACAAAAAATTACAGTAAAGTTGAACTTTTTCTCATAAAATTTGTGAATATCTCTGTGTTAAGAAAGCTATACAGACATTTATAAATTCTGCTTGGGCTGTCTTATCAGCATTTTGGAGTAAAGAAACCTCAGTTACAGTTAGAGCAAAATGATTTATGTGGTTCTTTAAGTAATTTTTTTTATAGATTTGATTTATAGTATTCCTCCAGTGTTGTTACTCAGGTTTCCCAATATTCATTTCACCTTGTGTGTGCTGAGCATTCCCGTGCTATTTCTCAGATGTACATTCAGGCAGAGCAACCTCTTAGCCAACTTCTATATTTTATTTTCCCACTTGAAAAGTCCTGGTTTTAGAAAATCTGAGGGAAAAGATTCTTTTGATTTATCTCTTGTCTGTTTCTTGGGACATTCTCTTCTAATTTTTCCATCTCATAACAGGGAAAAAATAAAAAGGAATTATCTGTACTCTTTGAACATCTTTCATCACCCTGAAGGACTTGAATTTTGCAAGGAAAGCAAAAGGAAACAGAAGCAAGGTGCAGAGTCAAAGCCAAAGCTGCTGGCCTGAGCTTCTAGCTTTATTTATATAAATAGGTTACATTAGGTCATTATCATCATTAGTACATATTGTTCATTGTATCACTAGGGAGGTTAGAGAGTTAGCAACACTGTGCAGCTTATTCCTCAGTTACATACTAAGTTGCAATGTGCAATGTTAGGAACTTTGTGTAACTCTCAAGAAAGCTTATTGTATAAAGTTACTGTCATATGGACAGGTTTAGGCTCAGTGGTTGTCTAACAAGAGAGTTTCTTTATTCCTAGAAGCTGAGTATCTTGAGATCAAGGTCTAGGCTGATAAGACTCTAACACAGAGCCTCCTCATGGAGGGCATTACCATAGCAGCAAGGCATGTATATGTAGTAGTTATCTTACTAGTTCCTGGGAAAAACTGCAGAATATTCCAACCGTGGAAAACAAAATGTCTATTATTCCCTGGGAGTTTGCTCACCAGAGGAAATTTGTTGTCTTATACATTTCCACATCCAGAATCCTTACAGAATCTTATCAGATCCCAGGACCAATTAACTATAATATCACAATTTACACAGGCAGAAATATTTCAGAAACACTACTTAGAAATAGAAAACTCAATCATGTGAGCATTTAAGGTTTTCCTTCCAGGTCAATTCAGAATAGAAATTGGAACTGACATAATTGCATTTTCCCTCTCCTAGGCATTATGCTCCTTAGATAGAGCCAGGAATCTCTCCTTTCCTGTCATCTATGTAGAGTGCTGTCAGATCCATTTAGTACCTGGAATAATGCTAAATGTTATGACCAAATTAAAAATTCAGCTAAATCATATGCAACATCAGTTTTGTACACCTATTTGATATCTATCTGAAATTTATCTTCTAGTGTTAAGCAACTTAACATTTCATTTTCCACAACTTTACAACAGCAATTAGAAGTCATTCTCCAGCCAAACCTGTTTTGATATTTGTCTCATCAAGACGTCAGACTAGACTTACTGCTTTGGAATTGATAGCCTTTCTGGCTACTGAAGAAGATCCAAAGCAGTGGTTGAACATGGATGAAAGAGAAGTAAGCAACATTTTTTTCTTCTTCTTATACATATCAGATTTGTTTGTATTGTATTATAATGGAAATATAGATTTATGTTTAGTTTTATTCTACAATAAAAGTTTAAAATAACAGAAATTTAGAAAAAAAATAGAGGAAAGAAGAAATGTATTACACTGCCACCTTAAAACAATAAGATTAATATTCTAGTTAGTATTTTTCCATTAAATATTTACTTTAGGTATTTATGTTTGACTTTTTCCTTTGATGTCATCATGATGTATATATTTTATACTCAACTATGTGTTTATAAATTTTGAACATTCCCTGCCCTTATAGAACTTATGATCACTTTTATAAAATTAAATTTTTAAAAAATATACAATATAATCATTGTTTAAAATTTAGAAAATACTAAAAGGTATATAAAAATTTTAAACTTCTATAAAAACTACATGGTTTTATTCCTTTATGTAGATAGTTCATAATGTTCTTTGTTTGTCATTATGCATTTTTATTATAAGCTATGGTTTATTTAGAATTATTTCCTCAATATAGAGTTGTAAAAATAAAATTGTGGGTCAAGTAATGAGAACTTTTCCACAGCTTTTTGTACACACTGCTAATTACTTTCCAAAAGGACTAAATTAATGTTTTCACCATTAATGTATGAATCACCAGCAGTATAGAAAAGTAACAGATTTTCTCATTTATTGTAGTATATTGATGTATTATGATAAAATGTTTTCTTATTGTCTTAATGTATGCCTTAATTTTAATTATTGAACATTTCTTTCATATATTTATTTAGTTTATTTTTCATATATTTATTTAGTTTATTTTTCTTTGCTGTCTCTTCATTCCTTTGGTCTTTTATCTCTTTCAGTATACTTACAGATTTATTTGAGAGCCATGCCAAATTTAAAAATTTTATATATATATATATATATATATATAACTTTAAATATTACTTTTCATACATATATAAATACTAATGTCCATATACATATTAATTATACACTCAGTTTGATATTTCATTGCTTACCTTTTTGTCATCATGGTATATTTTTACAAATAGAAGATTTTCATCTTATGTTTCCCTCTTATTCTTAGATATACCTCCTCTGTTCCATAGATTTAATATATAGTAATTTTTCTTCCTTACATTTTTCCAATTTTAAAAAAATATTTTGCTAGATTGAATTATGATGAAATCAGTAACATGATTGTTGCATTGTCATCTCTCACTCTTCCTTCTTTCACATACACCTTTTGTGATCTCATGCACTGAGAAACAGTGGCGTTCATCATCAATAACAAGATTCCAAACATCCAGTCTTATAGTTTGCATATTTCTTCCTCTCCACTTCTCATGATTCATTTAGGATTACTAAGTCTGTTGTATAGCATTGCGTATATTACAATAATATGTAATAGTGAACTGCTATTTCGGAATGTTCTTGTTTTGTTCCATAGATAACCTTATTCACTAGCACCAAGCCCCACACATTAGCTTAATATAAAGTGTATCAAATGACTACTTGAAGTAGAGTGAAAACTACCACTGTATCTTTAATTTTTTATTATTGTTTTCTTAATGTTTATGCTTATACTAAATATTTTTTAAATAATAATTTAAGGTCAAAATAAGTTTTTAAAAGATTTTTTGTTTTATGTTACCTGGTATACCCAAATAATCACCCCATTTTTGTCTAAAACAGTATAAATTAAGAGACAAAGCAAGAAATAGTTATATTGGATATTGATGACTTAGTTTATGTGCAGCATGTATCTTAGTTTAATTTTACTTCTCTTATGTTTTATCCCTAAAATTGTTCCAAATGGAAACTATTCTTTGAAGTCAGGGTACAAAGTACATACCTACTGAACATGTTTGAGGATGTTTGCTCAAGTACGTAGGCACTATGCATTTAGCACATATGTGACTCACATTAACTTCAAATGTGAACCTCATGTGTTCTTCCCTGCTATAATACACTTCTATTTTTTTATTTTATTGTAATAATATGTGACCCAAGGAACTGTGAAAAAAATCATTATTTGTTTTATATATTTTTAATTAGTGCAAAAAAAATCACTAAAGCTAAGTGGAAACCATAGAATTTATTTGCTGATTTTTATCACTAAATTAAGCCAGAATTATGCCATTATCAGACCTTTTTTTTCACCAAGTCCTCCTCAAGAATAAGGCAAGTCAGGCTTTGTTTTATTACTGCCTTTAAAATCAATCTTAAAATAAAAATTTTAGAAAGTGTGCAATGGATTACTATGTGACTTCAATGTGATTATACATAAATCTGCTATAAGATAGGTGTTTCAGTTTTTGGACCACTAAATAATTACCTTAAAATAGACTTTTGCCTTTTAATTTTTGTATAGGTAACTTTCTGCAATATTCTAGGATGGAATCTTAGTGGATTTTCCCATTGCTTGCCCCTTATCCAGTGTTAGATTGAGGTTCTGTGGCAGGACTTGGGTAACTGGACAGGACTCTAGTACTGATAACATTAGCAGTCAAAGTAGGCTCTCTAAGCACAGAACTAGTTATCCTGGCACCTGTGGAGCATTGTCTCTGGCAAAGGAAGAATCCAAGTCATTTTGCAATTCAAAAACCTTAAGTGAGGAATTATTAAGGGAATTGGAAAAGAGAAAAATGCAAGTCCAAAGAGCATGGACAGAGAATACGTCTCAGGATAATATGTGTGTTGTATTTTATATCTTAGCAAAGGCAAAAGAATTATTCATCTCTCTTCTCAATTGGGTAGTATCTCAAAATAAAGCATTAGGAAGCAGAAGGATATTTTCAGTTATGTCACTGATATAAAATCGTACTGCATCAAGAAGCCCCCAAAGTAATAACCTTTTATGTTTACCAGTAGGAAGCCTTCTTGCCACAATTTTAAGAGTTTCTGGATACTTATATGTATATACACACACGCATACACATACATACACACACACACACACAAACACATATCCTTTCATGTCACTTGGATTTTCAACTTAATTGATAGCTGCTATTTCTACCATTAACCTCAAACTAGTATTCGGTCTTTACATCAAACACTTATGCTTTAAATGAGAACAGAAAATCTGAATGCCTGAGTTTTAGTTTGTAGTATACATCAGGAAAAGACAATATTTTCCTCTCTTTGGCTTCTATTGTACAAGGCAAATTTCAAATACTGGCTGTCTACAAAGAGTAAGGGTCCCTATAGTCCTTTCACTGCCAAAATTTATCCATACACTATTTTCCCCATACCTACAATGTAAAAATATAAGAAAAGGTTTCCTACTAACAATTTAATTCTCCTTCATAGCCTAAATCTACTCATCTATCTTTAAGAAGACATCCAAAAATTTTATCATTGATATCATTTATCACTTAGGCCTGTATTTCTTGCATATATATGTTCATTTGTTTCTACAACTAACCAGGTTCAAAACATTTATTATTTATTTCCTCTATCATCTAGATATTCTGTCATCCTCAAGTTCTTTTGCAACCTCATTTTAGTATTTTCTAGCTAATAGGCTAACTTACAAAATTATGCACAGAGGATAAGGAAAGGGAAAAAAATTAGTTAAGATGATTTTTGTTTGTTTTATGGTGCCGGGGATCAAACTCAGGGCCTTATACATTTCAGGCAAGTATTCTTGCACTCAACTACATCCCCAGCCCAACTAAATTAATTAAAATGTATTAGTGCCTTCATCAGATACCAAATATGCAAGGGTAGAGCCAGTGCATTTGTTTCTACAATTAACCAGGTTCAAAAACATTTATTATTTACTTTCTCTATCATCTATCACTTGTACACATATTCTTCAGCTAGTCACTATGCTAACTAATTAAATGCACATTCCTAAGAGTTGAGGTGTTAGGTTTTTACCTATGCTTAATATATAGGTTTGAAAAATCTGAATTTTTAATTATTTAATTAACTAATTTTTCAGGTAGTCATAGCAGTGTGAGATCCATCTAAAATTTTCTCTCCACTTATTGTATAACAACATTTCCTTAGAATCAATTTCCCAGACTATTTTGAGACTACATTTTGTTTGTTCATTCGGCAGCATGGCAGCCTTAAATGCTCATGTAGCTATTTCTGAAAATTGTTATTTCCATTCAAATTGTCAATCTCTTGTATATTAGTCTTCCAAACTAGAAAAACTGGAGTTATAAGCAAGGGAAGCAAACATTTTTAAGTAGCTTATACCCTTTCTCAGACTGCATCCAAATACTTTGACCAACTTGGTACTTTGGAAATAAAAAGAATTATTGTTTACTAGTGCAGAGCATATACCTCATCCTTCAGAATGGTACCACAACTTTACAAGGTACTGTCTCCCAACTGCCATACTAAAGTTATTCAGGTGATAAAAGGAAAAACAACATCAGTGCATCTTATGGTGTCTCTCCATTGCTTTACTTTTTCTTGATAAATAAGAAAACAATATTATTTTACAGGATATCATAATAATATATAAGGCATTAGGTAGTTCTACCTTTTGAGGATGTTGGCAGAATTATGATGGGGAGAAAAAAAAATAAAATCCAAAGTATATATTCTTCTAGAAATAATTAGACGATCCTTCAGTGATAGAAGGGGTCCAGTATAATCTCCTTACTACCAAATAACTATCTGGTCCCATTGGTACTTTTTAATGGGCCCAGGGCTTATATTCATCAATAACAATAACTAGGTCTGCCTGAGGAAAAGAAAGTTTATATTTGGATCATGCATAATTGTCATCTTTTTCACCAAGGCCCCCAAGTATATGAGCCACTATATAAAACACTGTGACATGCAGAGGATGCCTGGTATCCTCACAGGTGGTCCATTTTGTCTATTTGAAAATTAACAGCATTATACGCAATGCTATCCATCCATTGAAACTTCTGTCTTCTTAATCTGTCTTCTTAATACTTATCTTCCAATAGTACTCTTGTCAAACTACTTATCATCTGAGTAATCCAGTAACTACAGGGCAAAATA